AGGTATTTTGTCTCAGCAACGAGTAAAAAGTAACTAAGACAGCTGTCTTTAGCTGCTTATTACCAACCTCAATAGTGAGCAGGATCATCAAAATCCTATTGTGACAAGATTGTAATAATCGAAGAGAGGGGACAGTGAGTATAAAGAAGAAAGGCACAATTATGACATAATGCCATAAATTCAACAGGGAGAATAGCTCAAGAAAGGTAGAATACATACTTTAAATAATCAATCAATTTTATCAATCACAAAGTGTTTATTGCATATTTAAAGTGTTCTAGGTCTCTACAGCCCTGGTACATTTTATTTCCTATCTAGGCTTATGATCAGAAGGACACAATGTACTTTCAGAGCTTGGGAGGGATAATGGAAAAGTACAGGGGACATTTTCTTTTAATAGAGCTTTACAACTTAAAGAAGATGCAAAACTTTTGCTTGTCAAAAGGAATCTTTATTGAGTTGACATTATCAGGACTGATTAGAAGCCTATATTTTGTAAGAAAATGTTTCTTAATAGTTCATTAAAAAACAAAAAGAAGAGCATGTTTATAGATTTTATATTTTGTTAGGTAGAATGAGGTCCCATGCACAAAGGCACACCTTAAAAGGACTTGACACCAGAGAGAGGAGTCATTCACTTGCTATGAGTGGGTCCTGTGCCTCAGAACTTGGAGATACTGTAAGAGATTTGTTTAATGAATCTCTACAGATGAACTCTGTCAAGGTTTGTGTCTAGATGTTTCTCCAATGCCTCATTCAGTCTTGGAGGGTGGGATTTTTTTTGTGATTGTCCAGTCCTGGGATTGGTGGTGTGACTGCTACACTTGCCCTAGAGTCGGCAGTCTGCATACAGTATAAGGGAGGAAAAGAGACTTGCTCCTTCCGTTTTACTCTTTCTGCTGCCAGGAAAGGCTGCCCCTCCACGCCTGCCTTCGAGACAGCTGATTATGGACTGAAACCTCTACAAACTGTGAGCTAAATAAACCTTTCCTTCCTCAATCTTGGTCATTGGGTGTTTGGTCTCAGCAACAAGAGAAAAGTAACTAACACAGAGCTCTGACCAAAGAACAGGCACTGGACTGCTCTGCATGTCCTACAAGGGCATCAAGACATCTCCCTGGCAGGAGACCTGGCTGGTGTGTGATCCGAGGGAGACCTGGGATCATCGTGAGTGTTCTCCCTCTTTGACAGATCTGCTGTTTTATCGCTTGTTAAACCAGCAAGAGCCATAATAACTTAAGTTGAAGGAACAGATTTAGGTGCCAAGTTTTCCTCCAGGATCTGGATGGGAGCAGGCACATGTGACGTTAAGGATATGCTAAACTTGGCCCTTCTGCAGGCTGAGCAGTCTCTTCATGGCTGGTGGAGAGAAACACGTGATTGGGTTTCTTGAAAACGCTTTGTGTTTATCTCTGGAATCACAAATAAGATTTGTACTTATTTTATGCTATTAATATAGAGGTTTTGAGGGGAAGTTTTTCTTTTTAAAGTAAATTATCCTTACATTATTCTTTCAGTTTTAATAAAACTTCCATTTTCTAGAATTTTTACAATTCAGTAACACTGACCTGGAAAAGGTAATTGAGACAAAGGATAGGAGTGTGTGTGTGTGTGTGTGTGTGTGTGTGTGTGTGTATGTGCGCCCAAGTCTAGGTGTAAATGAATGATATTTGATACTACATAACAGATGAAATACAAGATTCATGAGTGGAATACAGAAGTTAAAATCCTAACTAATTTAGTATTTATTAAGTAGGAGGTTTGGGGCAAGTTAGATGACCTTAATTTATCACCTAGTAATTGGATATACCTTTAACCGCTTAGCACAGTATTTTGCACTAACACACATAGGAGGTATCCAGTAAATAGCAATTATAATTACTAATTATTCTTTCTGATAATAAGCTCAAAACTTTTTATGGAACCCATGCCTACTCACATAGTTTTAGAAAATCTAGTTTTTCCTAGTCTTGCATATGACTGGTGAATTTTCATACTTGTTAACTTTAATTTCAGGATTCAGATTTTGAAATGTGTATAGATCTGCTTTCTATCATTGTGACCAAAATACCAGAAGGCACCAATTTAAAGTGGAAAGGTTTATTTTAGCTTACCATTTCAGAGAATTCAGTCCATGATCACCTCCATTGCTCTTTAACCTGTGAAGAGGTAGAATCATGGTGGAAAGGGGGGGGGGGAACTGCTCACTTCATGGTAGCCAGAAAGAAGAGAGGTTGAGAGAGTGAAAGAGGAAGGGGCCAGGGGCAAGATATCACTTCCATAGTCCTTATGACCTACACTCTTAAACTCAACTCTGTGTCCTAATAGTCCATTCAGCTTCAAACTCATCAGCAAACTAATCCATTGATAAAGTTAGTGACCTTGTGACTCAATCACTTCCCAAAACCCTAACAAAGCCTTCAACACAATGATCCTCTTGGGAGGTTATCTTAGATTCCAACCATAACAGATCTTATGTCAAAAAGATTGAAAATCAGGAGCCTAGACTCATGGGTCATGCACATGGCCTAGCCTATTTTATACATAGCATTCCCAGGTTTTTCTAGTGTCTAATTTGGATTATTACAATCATATTCATTCATCAAATTGAATGAGTACAAAAGAATATTCACCACTGGATCTTTAGTTGTAGGCAAGAGAAGGCTCAGGGAGTGCATTCCGGGCAAGAGTTCTGGGTGTGTGGGCTGAAGGGCAGAGGAGCAGGTTGGAGCATGTAGAGGAAGTTGGGAAGGCAGCGTAGAGAACTGCAGGCCAGCATGCCAAGTCTTACTCCAAGGAGGCGGAACTGAGCTGGGGAACGGATGCAGGAACACAGGATCAGTGGAAAACATTAGCACAAAGCAAGAAGTTGGGATGGAGATAGGAGAAAGGCCTGAAGGGACCCGTTGAGATGTTAGAAAGTTGCCTCAGGGCTCACCTGTGCTTAAGAGGCTGGGGTTGGGGAACACACACACACACACACACACACACACACAACACAGTCTCACATCTCATAACTCCGGGAGTAAGATCGTAAAAATTTTATTTTTCATGGTGATGATTTTTACTATTTGCTACTCCAAAATGGTGGTTCTCAACCCTGTGGTACCTGAGAATGTTTAGAGTAGCTGTACAGAATCAACGGTACTTGGACCCAATTCTACAGTAACCGAATGGAATTTGATGACCTGAGCCGGGTCCCAGATAGGGATGTTTTTGGAAACATCCTTTCCCAGTGATTCTCCTGCATATCCAAAATTCAGAACACTTGCCCCAAATACTTTAAACTTGAATTATTTTTAGTAAACAGATTATCATTGTCACTGAACAGACAGGACTACAATATTTTCATTTGCTGTTAAGATTTCATGTTTCTCTACTGTCATAGTGAATCATTCTATCTCTGGGAGCTATTTGTCCACCCTCCACCTCTCCTGTATTGTAATTTGAAACTTCTAATGATGTTTATAATAGCAGGCAAAGCTGCTAACCAAAATTGTTAGAAGTGCAGTTTGCATTCATTCTCTTCACCATTTGGCTGGTGGCTTTTGATCTTGTAAAACATCTCTTAGGAGACAGGTGTCATGGCACGCTTGTAATCCCAGCAGGGAGGCTGAGAGAGGAGGAGCACCCCTCCCTCAAGAGTGTGAGTCCACCCTGGGCTACACAGTGAATTCAAGGCCAGCCTGAACTTCATGGCAAGACCCTGGCTTTTCAAAAAGACAAAAACAAAAGAAACTTCTTAGTTTTGAGATTTCCAAATATTAAAATGCCAACAGCTCCAAAATATGACTTAAGGTAAGGAGGCCAGGCTAGCTCAGTCTTGCTGTCTAGTCGCCTGAGTGCTGGGACTATGGGCATGCACACTATACCAAGTCCTGTGAATACTTTATATAGTAATGAATCTGTCTGCACACAACAAGTAGCCTTCTTTTACTTCTTTTTCCACTTCAAATGAATAGATAATGACTCTTATTGTTCATCAATTTATTTAAAAATATTTGCTATCAGGTTTTTGAGGGTAGTCCATGTTGATGCCCACGACTGTAGTATGATCTGTGTAACATTTGATTAAGTGAATATATCATGTGATTTAGCTGTTCTTTAATGCTGTTGTCCAGGATAGAGAAATGTCAAGGTTTCCTTCAGTTTTAAAGTTCTCGAACTTGGCATTAAAATGTGTTTTTTCTGAAGATGCGGCATATCAACACCTTTACTTTTGCAGCTTCTCTTAGTTGTCTTCGTTTTTAAGTGTAATTTGAGGCCCTGTGGATGACCGGAAGCCTGATCTAGGACTGTTTTCTTTTTTAAATAGCAATCAAGTAAACTAGACATGATCACTCATGTCTGCGCTTGGTGAGTGCTGGAGAGGTTGAGTCTTAGCCCCCTTTTTATTTTACTGCTATAACTGCATATTATGGACTGGGAATCTTATCAATTAATTTATTTCTCACAGTTTTGGAGACTGAAAGTCCAATATCAGGATGCTGGCATCTGGTGAGGGCTTTCTTGTTGTGTTACAATATGGCAGAGAGAGAGCATTATATGGCTGGAGGGCCTCCACGAGAGAGCTCGCTTCCATTACAAAGCTGCTCTACAGATAAGTAACCCACTCCCATAACAGAAGCATCAGTGTAGCCATGAGGGTGCAGGCCTCTTGGGCCAAAGACTCCACTTCCCAAGACTGTCACAGCAGCAGTTAGATTTCAACACCAGTTTTGGAAGGAATGTTTCAGCTGTAGCAGGTCTAATCATGCAGTGAGTGAAAACACAGACTTTGGGGTCAGTCCGACTGTATTTGGTATCCCAATTTTGCCATCTGTGCATTATGGGATGCTGAGCAAATTATGTGACCTCTCTGACCCTGAATTTCCTTAGCCAGAAAATGGGCAATAATTTCTACTTCATATAGCTGGTATTAGGATAAAAAATACATAGTGTGTGATTATTTACCAGAATGCCTTCCACCTAGTTAGTGCTTGAAGAGAGGGAGAGACAGCGAGACAGAAAGACAGAAACAGAGACAGAATGTGATAGCACTCTGTCAGGACCCCTGTGAACATTCACAGTGCAGACAGCTGGTACTTGGTAAATGCTTGCAAGAAAATGAAGAAGTAAGTATATAAGTATACAAATGGAACTATAAGAAATACGTATTTTGTGGTGGAATTGATGGAAGCCAGTCCATGAAATGACCATAAAGAAGTTTTTCAGTGGTTCCTATTAGTAGAGGGTGACTCAGTAAAGTTGAGAACATTTTTTCCTGAAGATCAAACATTCTGTCGTACAAACCAGTCACTCCTTTTAATCTCCTAAAACAATCTTGATGTTTTAGTGGGAAAAAAAGCCTCTGCAGTAGCCTAGAGCTCAAACGTTACTTACAATTTCCTGTCTGTCATCTCGGCAGCTCCCTGCCCCTCTCACTTCATCCGCCTGCTCGGCGTCCACCCTCGAGACAGCCTGACTTCAGTGAATGTCCACGTTTACAGGAGCTCAGCAGGCACTTCCTGGCTGGCTCCTTTCAGACAAGGAGCCTCTGTTCGCCTTGGGATGAGGGAGCAGACAGCCTCTGACTGTCCCAGCTGGTGAGCAATGGGCTGCAGCTCTGGGACAGATACTTTATGTACATATTTTTGAGCGATGGATGGAAAGCAAGCCAATAGGTTAGGATAGCGCCAGTCTTTTTAAAAAGCAACGCCCAGCAATAGTGTTTACAAGCTAATGTTTAAGAAAATAAAACATGTCTATCAGGAATTCCTTTTAAGTGGCACAGGATTTGCAAAGGTGTGTCATGTCTAAATAAAGTGCTTTCATGCTCAATAATGGTGGAGGATTGTTATGGTTCTGCTTTTCCTTTGGAGGTTGTGTTTATGTCCCACTTGAAGCCTTCAAGGATACTGCATATACATCTGCATATACATCGGAGGTCTAGTTTACTTGATTGCTATTTAAAAAAGAAAAAAAAAAGCAGAGGAAAATGAGTGTTTCTGCTTGACTTAGAGGTTAGTAAATTGAGTGTGGCTGGTTTGTGGTCACTGGCTTGCTTAGCTTAAATAGATTCAAATCTCTGCTCTGAATCAGCTTTGGGTGCCTTGGGGGTCAAGCTGGGGCCTTTTGTTAAGGGCCATGTTGAGTGACAGGAGGGCCAGGGAGGTGGAGGAAAGACAAGTATTAGAGGATTGTTGGCTGGTATTGTGTCTCTGTGAGTTTTCAAAGCCCGTTTTTTCTGTCAAAGGGGGAGGGGGTGAGGGAGGAGGACGTTCTGGGGGTGGGGAGGAGAGGGAAAGATAAAAGAAGACAGGGAAAAGATAGAAGGGTTAGGTGCAGCCATTTAGGCCTGACTGTCCCTCCCACTCCCACCCCCCACCCCACTCATCCATGGCCTTCTTGCTGACCAGAGACAGAATATAAATGAAATGCTTTGCCGGTACAGGACGCTAACTGGCAGTGGCCTGCTTGAGCTCAGGCCTTTTTCTAAGCAACTCACTAATCAGAAGTGACTGGGGCTCTGGAGAGAACACAGCCCAGCCTTGGGTTCCACCCTCCATGCTAATGAAGAAGGCAGTGAGGTGGATAATTAAGGGCAGTGATGTGAATAATTCCAAACGGATCATTCAAAGGTAATGAAATGCATTAGGAGTTTTGGGGGCAGCAGATTTCCCTTACCAGATATGGCTGTTTTCTGATAAAATGAGTTTGCCTTTTAGAAGCACAGAGCTGCTGACTCTGGGAGGAGCCTGCCTGGAAAGGCAGGGCTTGTGGGTGTGAGCTGACCTAGGACTATGAATTCAGGCTGCCGTGAAAGACAGTGTTCAGGAAGCTTGCATAACCGTAGAGGGAGACACACTTCTGCCATGATCTGAAGTGTAGAAATAAAGAGGCATGAAAAGTAAATGCATGGTAAGCAATAGCAATGTACAAACAAGCAAACTAAAGACACACCAAAGTTGTATATACACGGAAGGATGCCTGGAAGAAGATCTATGATTAAGAGGGTTAACAGTAGTTAATCTAGGTAGTGGGGCTGTGGGTGATTTCTTTTATTTCTTTATCTATTATTTGCCAACTTTTTAAATTAACCTCGGTTATTTTCATAATAAAAAAGGTGAGCACACTAAAAAAAAAATTATTTCACATGTGAAATTCTTCCCCAGGATAGCTAGAGAATTGACATAATGCTGTGGGATTAATGCACAAGGGAAGCCTATATTTTATTACAAATTTATTAGAAGTCCCAGCAGCCCTTTTCTGGATAGAAATGTTTCCACTATGAAATGTGATTCTATTTGAATTTCCTTGGCTCTGGTTTTCTGAAAGCTTGAGAAATATTTTCAGAGACAGCAGCTTTTTGCTTACTGTGTTCTCCTTAGCGTATAACCAATATATATCTGTATTAGTCTGTTTCGTGTTACTGTAACAAAATTGCTGAGACTGGGTAACTTTACAAAGAAAAAAGTTTGCCAAGTGCATACTTCTATCATGAAAGAAGAAAGAAAGAGGGAGCGAGAGAGAGAATGATGGGGGTCACGGGAGAGACACATTAATCTCTCCAAAGGGTAGTACTCCCAGTGACTTTAAGACTTCCCAGTTGAATCTACCTCTTCAGTGTCACCATTGTAGGGAAAGGGGGCTCTTACGAAGGGAAAAGATAGGATAAAAGTCTCATTTAAACTTTATTAAAAATTATTAGAGAATCTTACTAAAAAGCAGTTTTTGTTTCTACAGGCAGACTATACAGTTAAAACAATCAGAAAGAAAGGTTGAAAAAAAAGAGAGGAAAAAAAAAAAAACAGATCCCCAAAGCTACCAGCTAATGCAATCACCATAAAAATTCATCAAAAAGATTTAACAAAACACGCAAAAAGGTAAAAATATAAAGACTAGGGTAACCAGTCTTCCTCCCCACCTCTGATTAACTGCAAAGGAGGTGAGGCAGCTGTGTAATGGCTCTTATTTAATGTGTAAAAGACATACACACCTATGCATACATACATAAATGTATTCACTCTAGCATCACTATATGGCTACACTGATACACACAGGTCCCCTTTACTTAATCATTCATTCTAAGCTACGTTTCTATAATCCCCACTTATCCATCTAAAAGGGCAGAAAGAAATCAGACAAAGAGGTGCCTGATTTAGGGTCAAAAACAGCCAAAGGGCCAGTAAGATAGTGACAACTTTCAGATGCCCACATAAGGAGTTAAGGAGAAATTGCTAGTCTTAAATAAAAGGAGCAAGGGACAAGGGCTTGGGCGTCTTTATCTTTTCAATGCTCCCTACTCTTCCAGAGTAGCTGTGTAGTTCCTCTTTTTCCACTCTTTTCCAGATAAAGCATCATCCTTTATTTTAAACCGCATCTTTTTAGATCCCTTACTAGTGGTGAAAGTTTACAACCCAGCAGAACAGTGGTGCACACAATGTCCCAAGCTAACACTGTCACCTCACCACTGCTGCCCTTCGGGCCAGTCTCCAACACATAAGTCTTAGAGGGCAAACCACAGCTCCGCCACTGCACCCATGTTGAATAGCCTCATTGCAGCCATATTTAATAACCGTCCTTACCCATGTTTCCTTCCCAGTTTTAGAATCAGTCGTGAACATCACCTATTAATATTAAATGGACTTCTTATGTCAGGAAGTCATGGGACTAGCCAGACTGTGGGGTTCATGATGGTCAGCGGGGAAAAGAGACTGATTATTTCTCATTCTTGTTGTGAGACAACTACAGGAGATTTGGAAGAGAATGATTACTTTTGTAAAGATTTTTATTAAGCGAAGGTAATCTGTCACTTCAAAATGAAAGTCATGTTTCCTTCTGTTTTTTTTTTTTTTTTTTTTTTACTCTTATGCAGAGAATCTGTTAAGATTTGAATGTCTGTGCCCTCCCCAAATCTGTATGCTGAAATGCTAGCTTCCAAGGTGATGGCGTTAGGACATGGAGCATGTGAGAGGCGATTTTAGGCCATGAGGATGCACTTTACAAGGACCCAAGAGACCACGTGAGTTCACAGTGAGAAGGTGCCAAGTGGGCCCTCACCAAAAGTCAAGTCTGCTGGCACTGGATCTGGGACTTCCCAGACTCTGCAACTGTGAAAACTAAGTTTCTGTTGTTTATAAACCACCCAGCCTATGGTATTTTGTATTACCAGCTTGAACTGACCTTACAAATTCTTAGAAACTCTCTGACTACTTATTCTCATAATATTGCGTAAGACAGCAAACCTGCCATATATATGTGTGTGCTGCTGCTGGCCATGACCTGGTTTAGGGTTGGATGTTTAATTGTTGTGCATTGCTGGAAAGTGAAGGATCCCTCTGTTTTACTGCATTGAGCTGATAAAAGTATCCATTGCAGTCTTTGGACATTGTGTATATTTGAAGTTTTATCTCAATAGTTTGACGTTTATATATATAGATCAAAATGTAGTGAATGCTTAAATTTTAAAAATTATTACAGTAAAAGACAGATACTTTAAACACAGATATCCCATCATTCTTGCCACTTGCTGAAGCGGTTCTACAAGTGCATGGCAGTCACAAAGCTCTTTTGAATGAGGGTAGAGGATGCTGACCATACCCATGCTGAGCCCTTGCTGAGCACTGTCCTATGAGTAGCCATGTTAAACTCCAGCCTTGCCCCATCAACTACTGATGATGGGTCCAGGGAGGGCTTTCTAGCTATCTGGTACGATAGTGGCCAGCTTTCCTCATCAAGTCCTGTCCCCGGGAGCTGGCATTCATGGCATTCTTGGAGAACTCATCAGCAGGAGCAATAAAGACTGAGTCAGAGAGCTGCTGAACCCCCAAAGGGGCTGTAGTTCTTGTCCGCCCAATGCCTTCTCCTCTGTTCCTTCCTTTGGAAACAGACCTACCTTCCATCCCCCTAAGCCAGTCAGAGGCCTGCCCGGAACCTAATGGATTAGGCTGTCATCCTTCCCCAGACAGGAGACTGTGGAACCAGCTCCCCTTACACAGGCCGGAGGGGCCAGGTGGGTGCTTCAGTGAGAAAGGGCCTGGTGCAAAGAGCTTGGGGCTGCGAAGGCCTGTGACCAAGGAGAATGCATGACTGCCATAGGCAATCAAATTAAAAGAAAACTGGTGTAACCAATAAAATGAATGAGGTTTTAATGTGGCCCCCTTTGGGGTTGGCTGCTCTATTTAATATCAGCTTAAAAGTCTGGGCCTCATTCTCTTATGCTATGATGAACTTAGTCTCCAAGAAGAGACACCAGGGCCACACCACTCTATGGATGGATTATAATGTATTTGGTGACTCACTGTGGAAATGATATTAAAGGGGGAAATCCCTAAAGCCAAGATGGGCTATATTTGACTGAATAATGAAACTAAAATTTCTGTAAGTTAAAAATGTTATAATTACAATTAGATGTGCATATTAATATAATGTATGTGCATGATAATATAAATAAGATATATGACAAATGGTAAGCTAAAAAAAGTACTTTCTATAGATATTTTTGATGCTGCCAGCTATAGCTCACCATTAATACTATGCACTATTTTTCTTTCTGCAGTTAGTTACTTTATTCAAGCAGGCAGATCAAGTCACCAATCTCCATGAGGTGAAGGGTAGGAACAAACCTTTTATGTTCTATTCTCTCAGAGCAAGATCTAGACTTTTGGGAGACAGTAAGTATTTTGTTTTTGTAATAGTCATTTGAAATAGTCATTTCTATGATATGTGGTTTATTACACAAGATAGCTATGATGATGTTGAAACAGGGCTCTCTCAGATAATGTCTACTGAGAAGAACTTTGAAGCATAAATTTGCTTCATATTATTTGCTGTTCTTGGGGGTGCAAAAACAAAACACCATATTCTGTGCAGAATGGTGGATAACTTTATCTCCCTGGCTCTGAAGAATGATTTGCCTCTTGGCAAAAATGAACAATTGTGGGTTGGGAGTGTAGCTCAGTGTTACAGCACCTATCTGGCATCTCCTGCAAAAATAAAAGGATTAAGAATAACAATGATTCCATACATGGAATTTAAATGAGTGCTTCCAGATTCCCAGTTTTTATAAATGCTACTTTCTGTCCTGTGAGAATTAAATCCCCTGGGTTTGAAACTGCCTACATTTCCCCAAGCTTTGATTGCCCTTGTGGCCCAGGAAAGCGGCCAAGTTATAGATCTAGTTCATAAAATTAAAAATCTTAGATGCTCTCTACTTTAGGAATGAGCTAAACCCTGTAACTTCATCCATGACAACGCAGACTTGAACAGCTTTGGAAAAGTAAGTTGTAAACTGGACACCATTTTAAGAAAAGCAGAATATGTACTCAGAGAAATTCTCCCTGATGAGAACTGTCTGTTGGGATATTATTGAGTGAAGATTTATTTTAAAAGACATTCAGCAAGAAAACTGGAAGGCAAGCAGGGAGAATCATCACTTCTTGTTGATAGATAAGATAGAGCTGATTGCACTGAAATCTTGGGCTATTCCCTTTTGGTTTTAGGGTCTTTGGCAAGGGCCCATGTCCAGAAAGACTCTTGTGAGGTGGAAAAGAGAGCCATCCCAAAAGTGACACAAGTCACTGGCTATCTTGTGTAATAAGTCATTCAGAAACGTGATGGTATGCCATCAGGGCGTTATTACTACAACTCTGTAGGAAGAACTGGGGATGTGGGGACCACTACTCTCCATATGGCAAGGCCACTTGGCTAGCTTGAGCTTCCTTCCAACATGGAGATCTCAAGGCAGCCTGAAAATTTGGAGGATTGGGAGGCTGGTGACCAGCTTCTTCCTGAGTCAGTGTTTCAGCAAGCCTAGGTGGAAATTGCTAGTCTTGTTAGAAGTTAAGCCCAAATGCAGCCCTGTATCACTTCCGTTGTTCTGTGTTGGTAACAGCCCAGCCACAGGCCAACTCTGATTCTAGAGGAGAGGAAATGACCCTCGCCTCTTGATAGGAGGAATGTCAGAATTTCTTGCCATCTTTCATATACTACCACCATTAAGGTGATCTGGTAGAGGAAAGCAGACCAAAGTGTAGCCAAGGCGCTATGTGGAAGGATTTTTTTTTTCATTTCTGCTGTACTTAGTTATGTGGTTTATTATTTGTTCCGTAGTGGAGTGTGAGAGATTTGGAGAAATTTGAGAGGACTCCCAATGTTTGCAGAGAAGCACCGGTTTAAACGCTGGGAAGTAGGACAGAGGGACTTACAAAGTAGGATTGATTTGGCCTGGAGCGGGAAGGCAGGAGAGTAGCTGACTCATCATCTTCAAATTCGTGACGGTTGCTATGAAATAGATGCATGACTGCAGAAAGCAGAGCAAAAGTGGATTTGTCAGGCTGGAAATAGCAAAGAATCCCAACCAAGATAGGGGCATCTCTGGGACCTGAAAGAAGTTTCCTTTTCTGAAGCTGTTTGAAAGAGGACACATTTTATATGACTGTAAAGAATTAGAATTAGTTTTACTGGGAAATAGAAGTGGTAGATTAGATCACTTTTTCTTTTCTTCTCTTTTGTGTTTTATATTGGAACCCTTTTCCAAGCAAAATCATGTATCAAATAGGAAAAGTGCCGCTGTTTGGGTTGTGGTGAGTAAGGGCACAGCTTCCCTGGGTCTCTTCTGTCTCCTTGCCTTCCCAAGGTCCCAAGCGTCACTGTGGGAGACGCAAAGATTCTGCAAAAGATAACTTAAAAATAATTAACGCTGATAAAGTGTCCCCTCACAGTTCTATAAAAACTGTGTACACTTAAGAGGTTTTTTATCTTTTGTTTTTCCTCAAAACTGAAGTTAGGCCTTATGGGTTTGGGAACTTGATGAGTTCTTTTCATGATTCAAATTCATGAGATTTTGTTGTTTCTGATCTTAGGTTCTATCTCTTGTGTACTGTCAAATGACACCTTGTTATGTACTCTAGAAGTACATGAGTTACTAAAGGTACCGAGTATAATGCAAGCTTTAGTTAACGATTTTCATTTTTTGGTAAGTTTAGTTCTTTTGCTTGAACTTCATTCAGATGAAATTAACTTGCTTACATTATTTGTGACTTAATTTCATTAGTGGTCAATGAAATTAAGGGCTTAGTCTATTAGTCCTTAAAACCTTTGCAGAAATAAAAAAAGAAAAAGAAAGTACTATTATTGCCACCAAAGCCATCATCCTTGTGTTACCATCCAGATAGTTTCATTAATATTCCATTTACTTGGTGTATTCTTGGGCCATTTTAATATGCACACATATTATTACAACTTTAACACTAGGTCAATCTACATAAAACTTTTAAATACATAAACTTTTCACGGTTGATACAATGTCTATTTTCAAGATTGTGAGTAGCCTACTTCGCCTGTATTGTACCAAGTCATATAATTGGTAGAAAGTACATTGTGAAAACAAACACAGCTGCCCTGAAACTCAGACAGTCATAATGAATTCTTAAAAATGCAACTATATTTTTTTAATGTGAAACATCATAAAGCAAAATGACACAGAAAATTTAAATGCAGGGATGGAAAAACTTACTAAGCAAATTATAGCAAAAAAAGAGAGTATAGCAGTATCAGCATCAGGCACAACAGATTTCAAGGTGAAACAAATTTTCCGGGCACCAGAGAACACTCCACATTGACAAAAGTAACAGTTCACCAAATGATGTGACATCATGAGCTTTTATGCACTTAATTACAGGGCTATGACAAGCAGGTAAGTTTTTTTTTTTTTTTTAATCGGTACCAGGGATCGAACCCATGACTGCCTGCTTGCAAGGCAGGAGCTTATGCCGCTGAGCTAAATCCCCAGCCCCTGAAGCAGGTAAGTTTGAGGATTTATGTTTTTGCATTTTCTGTGATTATAAAACATGAAGTAAAATCAAAAGAATTAAGAGTTCGTCATTTGGGGCTGGGGATTTAGCTCAGCGGCACAAGCGCCTGCTTGTAAGCAGGCAGTCGTGAGTTCGATCCCCGGTACCGATAAAATGGAAAAAGACAAAAAAAAAAAAAAAAAAGAGTTCGTCATTTGATGGTCTGTGGAATATTAATAATCTGTGGAACATTAATTCTTTGCAATACTTTGTAACAGTCACAAAAAATGAAGTTAATCAGTATAAGAATATAACTGACTCTCTAAAATATATTGTTGACTGAAGAAATATTTGCAGAAAGACAATGTATAGTACATTATAAAGCCACTTACATTAGCACACATACAAAACAGTGCATTTTTTCTTTTATGGAGATATTTTTATATAAATACAAAAAATTTTTAGAAGAGCACATACAGAAGATGTAACTGTGGTTACCTCTGCAAAGGGGAAAACAGATACATGAGAATAGGTGGTTAAGCAGAAAAGACTACCTTATCCAAAATGCTTTCAGTTTAAACAAAAAGTTATTTTTTATTATTCGGTTTATTAAATTTTTAAAAATTCTATGATTTCAGAAAGCTTTGAAAGCCCTATCCTTCTTGATGTTGGAAATCAGCGCATTTGATTGCAAATAACAGAAAGTTAATCCCAACAATCAGGCTGGAACAGTAATGGGGTTTATTATTCCACTTCACAGCTTGCTTGGCTGGGTTGATTATGAAGTGCAAACGTATCATTGAAGATCAAAGATGTTATGCTGGAATTGATTCATGGTGTGATGCTAAAATTAAGAGTGTGAGGTCTATGTGCCCTGATATCCTGGACAGAACATAAGGTACAAAAAAGGACTGCTCTAGTCACTTGCTGCTTCATTTCTTCACTACTGGGCTGCATTCTGGCCGCTATGAACGGTTTCTCATCGTAATGGTCCTCTGCCACGTCACCGTGCCTTGGAGCCAGCCAACTGTGAACTGAAACCTTTACAAACTGTGAGCCAAATAAATCTTTCTTCCTTTAACTTTGGGTACTAGGTATTTTGTCTCAACGAAGAGCAAAGACACTGAGTAATTTATCGAAGATTACTTTTTACCAAATTGGTAAGTGGTGGATTCAAACCAGGCATTTTGGTGCAAGAACATATGCACTTGGGGTCTACATCTGTGTTTCCTTGTCTCTCCTCTCCTTTGCTCTCTCAAAGGAATAAGAAGAGTTTTCCCAGGACCCGTCCAGCAGACAACTCTGCAGCTGATCGATTTGTGCCTACTCCTGAGCCAATCGGATAACCCTTGCCAAATAGACCACTTCTGGAGTTGAAAGTGTGGTCAAAATCCCTCCACGAGCGTTGCTGGCAGGGAAGCATAGAAGCATAAACTGAACCTGAGTTCACTTTGGAAGGAAAAAGGGGTAGAGGGAGAGATTCATTCTAAGGAGATAATCTATTGCATTCAGTAGAGGTGACTTCTACTAGCTCTTTGTAGTCAGTGACTGACTCATTTGAATGCCAGTTACATTGAGCCTCCAAGTGAGAAGCCCATGAGGCAGTTGGACTATGGTTTAAAACCTGAGGAAAATTTGGGCTAGAGATGTAGTTCTTGATTGGAGCTGAAGATCTAGGTACCACCCACACAGAGATTACAGTTTAAGTCTGGACACTCAGAAAATCTCCATAGAAGAGTATAGAGATTTGAGACAAAATGGCCCACCAAAAGATTTAGTGTATCTTGCACTGTGTTAGATAGAACATTTTTTTATGATTAAAAAAAAACTGTAAAGCCTCTTTAACAAATAGTGCTAAAAATTGAATATGCATTGTAGAAGACTGAAACTAGATCTCTATTTCTCACCCTGTATAAAAATCAATTTTAAATGGATCAAGCACCTAGGAATGAAACTTTGAAACTGCTTGAAGAAAAAAATAGGAGAAATACTTGCAGGCATAAGCACAAGCAAAGAATTCCTGATTAGAACTCCAAATAACACCAGCAATACCAACAAATGGGACTATATCACTGAAACATTTCTGCACAAGGAAACAAGAAACAGTGTGAATAGATAACCCACAGAATGGGAGAAAAATCTTTGCTAGGTTCTCTTCCAACAGAAGATTATTGCCTAGAATGTATAAAGAACTCAGGGGCTGGGGATTTAGCTCAGCAGCATAAGCACCTGCCTTGCAAGCAGGCGGTCATGAGTTCGATCCCTGGTACCAATAAAAAGATAGAATGTATAAAGAACTCAAAACAGTTAACATAAAAAAATCAGTAGCCCAATCAATAAATGGATAAGAGAATTGAGCTGATACTTCTCAGAAGAATGTCTATACATTGTCAATAAGTACACAAAAGCATGTTTAACATCTTTAGGGAAATACAAAACTATATTGACCTTCTGTCTCATCTGAATCAGAATGGGTATCATCGAGATCACTTTTAAAAATAGTGAATACTAGTGAGGATGTGAAGAGAAAAGAACCCTTCTGCATACTGTTGAGAGTGTAAATTAGTACAGCGACTGTGGAAATCATTATGAGATTCCCCAAAACACCAAAAATAAGCCAGGATAATTGTGCATGCCTGTAATCCCAGCACTCAGGAGGTTGAGGCAAGAGGCTCACAGTGAATCTGAGGCTAGCCTGAGTGACGTATTGAGTTCAAGGCCTGCCTGAACTGTACACAGAGACCTAGTCTCAACCCCCTCCTCACACACACCCAAAACTTAATAAAATTTCTAAGTCTCAAGTATACCACTCCTTGGTGTATACCCAATGGAAATAGAGTCAGCATACTGGAGAGATATATGCATTCCCAAGTTATTGTGGCCCAGTTCACAATAACCAAGATATGCATGCCAGTTAAACTGGATTGCCAACTTGATTGGCTTCAGAGCTACTTAAAAGATTAGCAAAGCATACTTATGAATGTATCTACATAGGTCAGATAGGTCTGGCCTTGGGTACTATGCTGGCCCCTGGCTCTTTGTTTTCTAGAACTGTTCCCTAGCTCTGCTTCCTTGCTGCCACAAACCAATCTGCTTTTCTCTGCCATACCTTTCCACCATGGTGTTTCTGCCTTGGAGTCAGTTGACCATGGACTGAACCCTCTGAAACCATAAGCTCTGTACATTTGCTTTGCAAGTACCTTATATTCAGCAATCTAGGACATGGCTCCTCAGTGTGTGATAGCAGGGCCAATCAACAAGCTTCTGTCTCAGAGGTTTACTCCCGTAAAGATTTGTCAACCTTGCTTATATTGGATCCCAGCAAGGCAGAGGGCTTCTCTTTTCACTTAGTGCTAGGATTATTTCCAAAAGATGAAAAATATTTCCAAAAGATGAGAAGTATAAAATAAAAAGTGGCCTTTATTCTGAGAACACGGAGAGAGATGACCAGCACCCCCACCGCTGGCATCAGGCGATCTCTCCGGCGGACACGTGGCATGGGGGCATGTAAATAGCCTCGGTTTGGGGTGGAACCTAAGGCGGGCATTAGGGATGCACAGGTAGCCCATTGGTCCTAGGTTTGGCGCCATATGTAAATTTCCAGGGGCGGGAAGATGGCGTCACAGGTAACTTCCTAGGAGCAGGGGAGATGGGGCTTCCTGCTTCCGGTTGTGGCTTTCCTGGCTACAGTGTCCTGTCTGGGCCAAAACCCTTTCACTTAGTAACTCCATCATAACCACAAACTTTGAACTCTTCCATGTGGTCCTCAGTATTTGACTAGCAGAAAAAGAGGGAAAGCACATAGAGGATTGCTTGGGAGCCTCTGGGCCAAGTCTGATGAACACTGCTTCCGACCCACATTCCATTATGAAAATTTAGTCACCTGGTTGCAGCTAAGTATAAGGTAGTCTGGGAAATGTAGTCTAGCTGTGTGCCTAGGAGGAGGAAAATGAGTTGGTGGAATTTTATCTAGTTTCTTACACACCATCGATCAAGAGAAACATTTCTTACCATGTCCAAATTTAATATTTATTTTTGGTGTCTATCTCATATCTTATTTTTATTTACAAAAGATCTGCTTGTGCTGTGTTCTTCCTCACTGAGTACAGCTTGGGAATGATCAGTATGCATTTCATATTTCTACTCGTTAAGAATCACTTCATTTTTGCATTTGTTATTTCATTATTACACTCTTAAAAGTTTTCTGCCTTTGGTTTTTCAAATTTGCATTTCAGTTAGAATTTAGTTGATCTCTCCTTGCATGATTCAGTGACCTTCTTTACTTGTGTTTTTGGCCTCTGCATTACCTATTTTTATGCATCTTAAAACTTTCAAAATATTCACTAAGTGGTCAAACATTTGAAAATATATATTTCTTGTTTCAAGAAGTAAAACCTCATAAATATATATAACTTGTAGAAACACTGCAATGTACTGTATTAAATTGAAAGCAGGCAACTTGTGTTCAATGCAATGAATTACAAAAATTATAAGCTTAATTTTTAAAAGGTTAAGTAAATGCTCAGAAACATATAATTCTTTACAGTTATCTATCTGTCAACTGGCATTGTTGATGTTTAAAAATTAACCAGTATGGTTTTCATGTGATTAGGTAAAAACCACACCCATCTGAACCTTGGGGAAACATCCTTGAGCATTTCAGATATATTATTATTTTTTTCCATTGTTGTCATTACACCAAGATCAGCAAGGTGCTCAGGGACACATTAAGCTGCAGCTGTTCCAATTAATTGTACCCTCATAGCCTCGAGAGACAAGCGTTGGCCAATTTAGTCCCAGGGAATGACAAGTCCTAGCAGGAGGCCTTGGCTCAGGGTTCTTTGGACCCTCCCTGAAAACTATCAGTAGTTTGATTAGGTGGCGCTGGGGCCAAGCCTGGCCTGGGGCTGGGGCTGGGGCTGGGGCTGGGCTGGCTGGGCTGGGTTGGGTTGGGTTGGGTTGGGTGGGGCTGGGCTGGGGCTGGGCTGCTGGTGGCAGAGCCTCTTCAATGCAAAACTTTTCATTGGCTTGGCTGCACCCCACTCATGACTCTGGCTAGATGACTCGATGGGAACCACAAACAGATTATCTGTCAGTTAGCTGCGTTTCACAGGAGTGGCTGGTTAGACCATCAGTTAGCATTTTGTGTGAAGAAGTTTATCTGCTCAGGATCACAGCCTGAGAGAGTAGTGGCTGTAGCCAAGTGCTCTAATGCCCTAATGCTTCACTTAAAATATGATCCAATCTGCTCGAAATTTTAGCAACATTTTTATTTCTCACATCATATCACATGAGTGGTGCTTAATACCTTAGGTCTTTTTTTCATTAATTTTTTCATTAAAGTGACCTGTTTTATGACTTGATTGCAGGCCAGAATTGGACTCTCTAAAGCAATATGAAAAGAATTACAGGCAAAATGAGATCTAATCTGGCCACTTGGCTATCTGCTAAATCTTAGCATGTTCTTCACATCATTGTTTCCTCAGTGGGGTAATTAATTAGTGATTGCACCATGTGTTTGTGGAGAAACAAGGTTTGGGGTGATCCCATGTCAAAACAAGTGCTCAAAATGAAAAGTAAGAGGTCATCATTTTATAACCTGTTTCATGGTAAATTTAAACTTTTCATTAATGTAGCCAAAGACTTGGGACAAAATTGGAAACCCAGGGCAACAGAGATAGACATTTTAGCCAACAGTTTCACACTGTATGCCAGACTCTGGGGCCGGAAGGGAAGGTAGAGAGGGGGCTCCTGCATGAGCTGAGAGGTTGGTTAAAAACAGGATTCCTTTGTGCCTTTCTTTATAAATGAAGCCTGTCTGCTCTGAGTCTTGATTGTATCAAACCGCCATTCAGCTCCCATTAAACATGTCACCGTTAAAAAAGAGCACAAGTAGAAATTGCTGGGAGTTGAAAAAAGAGAGACAAATAGGAAAATTTAGGTTGGTCTCACAGAACAGCAGCCACTCCTAAGGTTTCTCATGCCAATTTAGAAACGTCTCTGTGAGCAAAATGCTGCAGATGTGAGGCAGAGAGGGCCACAAGATCACGTGTCTGTCTGGCTGTAAAGTACAGAATAGTATACATAATAGTATACATGATGCCAGCTTGGTAGGACAGCACGCTTTGGAGGAGACACAGCGAATACTGTGAGTGAGCCAGTGGGACCTGGAATAGCAGGTGTGTGTTTTTCTGAAGTTTCCATTGTATCTGTAGCAATTTGTGTGAGCGTGTGCGCACACGCCCTGGCTCAAAAGCAATAACGAAAACCCTAGAAAACAATCTCAGAATAAATAAAGGCACACTGCCTTTGAGGAGTCTTGGCTTTCAGAGACAAGAAGCCAAGAAAGGTCTTCTCTTCCCGGCATATGAACAGAATTTTCATCCAGTAAAGCAGTGCTGAAGAGAAAGGAAATAAAAATACGCTTCTGGCTTTGCTGTGGTCAGTTAAGTATGCAGAGTTGGGAGCTAGACTGTCTAGAAGGGAATCCAGAACTACCACTTCTGAGCTCATCTCTCTGAGCCTCAGTTTCCTCATTGGTAAAATGAGAGATAATAATAGTGCCCAGTTCATAAAGTTGTCATAAGGATTAAATGAGCAATTTATATAAGCCATCATAATAGTGTTTAGCAAATTAATCTTTTTATTGCAATAATATAGTTAATATCATCATCATCGTTACCAAATACGCAGTATTGAAATAGCACCATAGATTGAAACATTGTAACATTGCCTTATAGATGTAGCTGACATTTTAATATTGAACTTGGGAAAATGGGCACAGTAATATCTACCTTGCAAAACTTGTTAGTAAGTACATGCCAGGTCCCTAAACATTCTCTAGGGGCTTTGAGAAATGGTTGATATCATTTCTAGCTTCATTGAATGTATTTTCAAGCACATACTATGTGATAAGCACTTTGTTATTCTCTTTATGGCCCAGAGTGTGATCTCTTAGTGCAAATTCCACATGATCTTGAGAAGAATGTGCATCTCAATCTTGTTGGACAGAATATTCTATAAATGTCAATTAAACCAAGTTGGTTGATGGCGCTGTTGAGGTTAACTCTATACTTAATATTTTGCTGCATGCTGAATCTGTTAATAACTGGGAGAAGGGTCTTGGAGTTACAATAATACATTTGTCTATTTTTCTTTAATTTCTATCGGTTTTTGTTTGTATCTGTTGATACTCTATATGTATCACTTTGCGTTCAATTCCTCATGTAACTTTCACAATGCCAGTGGAGAAATGGGTTAGTGGAACACATGCAAACTGAGCTTTGAGTATGCTCAAAGTGATTACAGCTGGGAGATGGAAAAGCTAAGTTTTGAATCAGGTCTATTTCAGACCAAGTTCAT